TTTAAAATGTCAAACTCAAATCAATAACCAATATAAAACCCAAGTACTTAATTCAAAACTTGGGTCACTGGAAAGCCAGTTTTCTCATTCATTTACTAATTAATCCATTCTTTCATCTATGCAGTCAACAACTACCGGCTGAGCACCTACTACATGCCAGACATTTTTGTAGCTCTATGAATAGTGTACATAACATACAGAAATACCTACTCTTATGGGACTTACGCATCTGAAATTATACAGTTTGTCGTAAAATAGATTGGAGTGAAGGGGAATCAGGGAATCAGGGTTGTTGGTAAAAAGATTAGGAAGCAAACCACAAGAATATGGCATCATGTAAGTCAAATGAATTTTTTTTTTTTTTAGAAAAAGGGGGTGCCAAAGGCTGCAGACAGGTTATATGGTAAAGTGAGGAGGGAGAATGGACCAGTGGATTTAGCAATATGGAAGTTATTGGTGAACTTGAAAGACAAGTTTGGTGGAAAAAGCAGAGTGGACGTTTGATCCAAGTGGATTTAACAGAAAATGGAAAGATAAAAACTATTTTAAAAAGCTATCAAAGGCAGTTTGTAAGGAGGTTGCTGTACCAAGGAGAAAAACAATAAATTGGTTGCTAAAGGATAAGTGGGGTCTAATAAAGTTTGTTGTTTTTGTTGTTTATTTCTTCAAGATTGGTATAGATACCAGTATGTCATATTTGCTGATGGAGATGTTTCAGATGAGGATGAAAAAAGGATGATGTAGGATAGTGGAGAATTACTAGGGTGATATTACTGACCCGGTGAAAGAATATAGCATCTATTGTAGAACATGAATACTGCATCTACAGTGCCAGAAGTCTAGGCAGAGTGTAGGGGCAGAGATGGAGTAAGTAAGGAGGTGTGGTGATGGGAGAATTTGGAAGTTTCCTACAAATTGTTAAAATTAGAACAAGTTGGAAGCAAGGGTATAAACATGAGAATGAAGATGAGGAGAATGAAGATGAAGGAGAAGGTAAAAATTACTAATGAATGGCAGTGAAAGAGTTAATGCACTAGGGAAATGTAACACAACTGCCAGTTCCTCACCCTCCTTCTTTGTAATTCCATCATAATTACACCTGGTGTGATTCGCTGACATGTATGTTCCTTCTAAGATGACCCTTGATCAATGCCTACTTGACTTTAAGATTCAGCACAAATATTTCTCCCTTCATTAAAGCCTTGACTACAAGCAGCTAACTTATAACCTCCTCTCCTGCTTCTAATTGAACATGGTTCTATTTAGTAATTATTTCTTTTGTGTTACAGTTGTTTGCTTACATGCTTCTTTATTCAGTTAAAGGTAAATTACTTTCAGGCAAGAAATACCATTGTTTTCATTGTATCATCCGCACGTAGCACTGTGCCTGAAGCTTGATACACATTCACTAAAAGACTGATTATTCTAGAAGGTGAAGCAGGTGACTAAGTTTGAAGAGCAATTAGATGCACTGTCTTGGAAACTGCTTTTACCTCCAAATCCTTCTGTATTAAGGAAGGAAAGGCTAGTTATTGGTATCCAGCTGAATCAATAATACAATAATGTTAATCATTAAGTTAATAATTTTAGCAGAAATTGTTCACTTACATTTTCTGGGAAATCCTAAAATCCCCCAAAGAAGAAAAGCAATGCCTCCACATATAAAAATTGAGATCATTATTTTCCTTTCAATTATCCCAAAGAGAAACACATTTCATTATCTTCCAAAGAGAAACAGATGTCATTATGTTACAAAGAGGAAAAAAAAAAAACAAGCAAAGCAACAAAAAACCCATCATGTTTACTCTTTTCTCTATCTTCTATGTGTTCTACTGTTCACAATTCAGCAATTAATATATCAGAAAAATAAGAAAGGAAACTAAGACCTAGCAGTTGAACATCAGGGGCCTCGGAGGTGCTTTGGCTCCACTTTCCTGTGCTATTTGGGAGAACTGTGTTACTAATTCTTCCGCCCTCCTTCCAGAACAGAAAACCAACGGTTTCCTCGTAGGGTCTTTTAATGAAATACTGCCTTTTCTAAGGGAAAATTCCAAGTATTTTTAATGAACTATTGTCTTTTCCAATATGATGGAGAAGGCTGGAATCGCCAATTATTATTATTATTATTATTATTGAAGTCTTTGTTTTATTAATGAAAACTGCTTTTATTTAAGATCTACATTATGGTCGCCATCCCCCACCCTGCCCTTCCCTCCCAATGCTAAAAGGGTGCAAGCTGGGATCAAGAAAAGATGCTAGAATAATCACACAACCTCACCCACCTGGCGTGTTGGTTTTCTGCTCCACAACTTCCCTCCCATCCTTTTTCTCGATCCCTTCTCCCTCCATCTCCAACCCTCAGGAAGAAGGCTCTTCCTTCCGTGTGTGATCACAGAGGCTGGAATAATCCTGCGGGAGAACTGCAAATTGCTAATTATATTTGGTGAGTGCAAACCGCAGGAAACTGAGGACCCGGTTTTTCTGAGGGGTGGTGTAGCAGCAAGACTGTAGGAGAAACAGCGCAGCAACCTGGCCGCCTCCACTCAGCCCCACAGACTGGACTTCGGCCAGATGGCTCCCAGGGGCGTGTCATGTGCCTTCTCTGACCTTTGCATGAGGCAGGGGCAGTAACAGCAGCCGGGTATGCACCAGCGGTGCCTCTGCCCCGGCAGCGATGACTCCACAGTCCCTGATTTCCGCAGCCCACGACTGGCCGGGGCGCAGCGATACCTGAGAATCCAACCTAATAGGCACCTCACCTCCCACCTGCTTGCCACGCAGAGCAGAGAATGGGGAGTCCCACACCCTCCCTTTCGGGCTTCTTTATATTGTCTCCCTAAAAACCTTCGATCGGACACAGGTATATAACATAAATTGCCTGCACTGGAAAGTGCACACATTCTTTCACACCACGAGGTGGATCTGCCCCCATTTTCTTGTTTTTAATAATTTTTTTCTGTTCTATATTTTTAACCACTGTGTTCTAAGTGTATCTGTGGAGTGTTTAGTAAAATGTGGGAAAACAAAGCCATTGTTTTTACATGTTTTCATAGGAACTAATGAAAGCTTGTTTCCTATACAGACAGTTTTCATTTTGCACTGTAGTGTATGATAATAAAAACTACTGCACAAGCTGAAATCACACCAAGCTATTTTCATAATTAATAGGGAAAATTATGATTTTTTCCTTTATCTTCTCTTCCTGATTGACAATTATCTCTTACTCATAAACGTATAGGGAAATGTGAACAACAATAAAATTAATATTTTTAAAGTATGTAGTAATTAAAACATTAAAAACATTGAGTTTCAAGTGTTTTGCTTTAAAAAAAAAAAAGAACGAGTAGTGTGAATTGAGCACGTGCTCTTGTTGTTTCGCTTACAATATGGAGCCAGCCTCTTTTCAACGCCTTCTCAAGCTTTTCCATTCCTAAATTTGGATAGACTTCCAACATACTATTCTTTGCACTTGAAATGTTAGGAAACATTCTGAGAGTTCATTTGATGTGAACACTCTAGCTCGTATAGCTTCCTCTGGGACCTCTTAATTCTTTTCCTCACAACCACTTACCTTAGTTTTGTCAATGAGTGTGCCTTCACTAAATTCCTCTGGTTGCATTATCTAGAGACTTTTCAAAAGGTGAAGTATTAATAACCCTATCAACAGCTATTGCTTCTCTAACTTCATTTCTCCTCTATTTGCTTTTCCCTTCCAGCATCATTATTTTTTTTGCTGTACTTTGTGTCACTAAGCAATTTCCTGTTTCGATTATCTTCTTGTTTTCCTGTGTCAAATTTGTGACTTCCTGTGTCAATTTACGACTCTTCTTGTCTTCCTGTGTCAAATTTCCTCTGAAATTTGTCATACAGTGACAAATCCTTGTGACATTTACAAAATAATGCAGAATAACTCTCCGTGTTATTCTGTATTAACTGATAAAAGATGCAAGGTGACCAATCAATCATTGACAGACTTGGAAAAAAGTGACATGATTGGTCGTTAATCACAATACAAACCTCTTACGTATATAGTGATTCGTGAGCTGAAAAACTAGCATGGAAGTTTCTACTTTATACCATTACTTACAGTAAATATAATACAAATGTAGATAAGTATGCTTAAAGAATTAAACTGTGCTGTCGAAGGGTTATTTAATTAAACTGTGGAAAGTGAAGTTTATGCGTATTAGAACCATGCAAAGTAAAGTGTATACACACACCCTACTCCCCACGGACATGCTCTTTAAAATATACATATACGGCCGGGCACGATGGCTCACGCCTGTAATCCCAGCATATTGGGAGGCTGAGGCAGGTGGATCACCTAAGGTCAAGGAGTTTGAAAGCAGTTTGGCCAACACAGCAAAATCCGTCTCTACTAAAAATATAAAAATTAGCTGGGCATGATGGCAGTTGCCTTTAATCCCAGCTACTCAGGAGACTGAGGCAGGGGAATCGCTTGAACCCGGGAGGCGGAGGTTGTGTTGGAACCGAACTGTCGATTCCCTCCTGGGCAGAGGTCGCCGCGAAGGATCACCGACACGAGATTCACAGCAGAGAGTTATTTATTACTAGCGCGCTAGGGTCCCAAGCTCTAAGTTGGCCCTGGGACCCCGAGTGCTTGTTACAGGTTGTTTATATAGGCAAACACAAGTTCAAACACAGCTTAAGGCGCGAAATTCAAACAAAGCTTTAGGCGCAAAATGATTGGGTCTAGCTATAGCCTGAGCAAGGGGTCTTGTTTTAATTGGTTAGAGCAGGACCTTATGAGGTTTTTTCCTGGAGTTGTTAATTCCGGGAACTTCGAGGCAGGGTGGGACCCCTGGAATTGGCAGGGTGGGACCCCATGAAGTTGTTTCCCGGAATTGGCAGGGTGGGACCCTATCAGGGTGGGACCCTACCGAGGCAGGGTGGGACCCTATCTAGGGCCACCTGGTGCTAACTTTTCAGGTTTTATGAGGCCTAGTTTCAGTTGTAGTGAGCTGAGATGGTGCCATTGCACTCCAGCCTGGAGATAAAGATACACACACACACACAAATACATATACAAGCAAACACATATGCATGTATAAGCGTATATTGCATGTGTATAGACCTTATTCTATACATAAGAATTTTTCATACTTATTTATGTAAAGTATTCTTGTGACTTCAGTAATTAATTAGCACAGATTTCAAAGCTATAAATGGTAGAAATGCAGTCTCTTGCAGTTTTGGAGGCCAGAGGTCTGGAATGAAGAGGCTCTGAGGAAGAACCTGCTTCACACCTCTCTTCTAGCTTCTGGGGGCTGCTGGCAGTCCCTAGTGATTCTTACCATGAAGTTGCACCATGCCAGTCTCTGCTGCTATCTTCTTAATGAGTGGAAAATAGTTCCTAGAATTCAACCAGAAGATTTCTCTCAGTTTTCATTTACCTCGACAGACCATATGTTCCTTCTTAAGATGATAACTTTCAAGAGGAATAGAAACAGTATGATTGGCTTAGATTAAATTCAACCAAGTCATTAGAGATAAGATCAACCTCTCCCTCATAGAAGCAAGTATATATATGGGGGTGGGGGGATTGTTTTCTTCACACAACACTCTTAGTATTTCACCTCCTACACCAGATGTGTGGGGAGGGGGTATCTCCTCGAATCAATACATTATCCAGGGCAGGGGGCCCCAACCCCCGGGCCATGGGTCAGTACCGGTCCATGGCCTTTTAGGAATGGTCCATGGCCTATTAGGAATGGGGTTGCATAGCAGGAGGTGAGTGGCAGGCAAGAGAGAACAGCTTCATCTGTATTTACAGCTGCTTCCCACCACTTGAATTACTGCCTGAGCTCCACCTCCTGTCAGATCAGCCGCTGCATTAGATTCTCATAGGAGTGCAAACCCTACTGTGAACTGTGAATGCAAGGGATCTAGGTTGTGTGCTCCTTAGAAGAATCTAATCCCTGATGATCTGTCACTGTCTCTCCTCACCCCCAGATAAGACCATTAAGTTGCTGGATAATAAGCTCTGGGTTCCCACTGATTCTACATTATGGTGAGTTGCATAAGTATTTTATTACATATTACAATGTAATAATACTAGAAATAAAGTGCACAATAAATGTAACGCACTTGAATCATCTTGAAACCATCTTCCCCCACCCCAGGCTCTGTGGAAAAATTGTCTTCCCTGAAATCAGTCCCTGGTGCCAAAAAGGTTGGGGACGGCTGCTCTAGGGGAAACCAACGGTATGTCCTGTAATTCAATTCAATTCAATTCTGACAGTATCCACCTGGAGTTAGCATCAAATTCCACAGATTGAGGGCTCAGTCCATCAAGGCTGCCCTCCACCTCAGATGCCAGTGTCAAGTCTGGGCCTCTGGAACTGCTGACCAACCAGCTACAGATTGAGGGTTCCCTCGACCCCCCATCACATTTGATTAATTTGATACAGGGGCTCAGAGAATTTGCAGAAACAGTCAATGTTTACCAGTTTATTATATTAATAAAGGGCACACATGAACATCCAGATAAAAAGATAGTTGGGGGAGGTCTGAAAGGGTCCAGAGTGCAGGAGCTTCTCTCCCTATAAAGTTGGGGTGCCTCACCCTCATGGCACATAAGTGTGTTTGTCCACCTGGGAGTTCTTGTAACACTGTATTTTTGGGATTTTTATGGAGGTTTCATCATGTAGGCATGATTGATTACTCATTCTTTTTCCAGCCCCCTGCCCATCTATGGCAAATGTGGGGTGGGACTGAAATTTCTAAGCCTCTAACCATGTCTTGATCTTTCTGGCAACCAGCCTTCATTTAAGAGCCTACCAAGAGTCTCCTCATTAGAACCAGAGATATTCGTATTGCCCAGAACATCTCGAGGAATTTAGGCACTCTGTGTCAGGTGTTCCTATCACTCAGGCAGCTACAAAGGTGTTAGGCACTCCACTCTGTGTCGGAAACCAGTGTTAAAAACCAAATAATACAAGATGTCCCTAGCACCCCTACTGTTCAGGAAATTACGTTTTTAGAAGCTCCGCACCGGAACTAGGTACAGACATATAGATATGGATTATATAGACATAGACAATTTCATATAGACTCACTCTCCACTGATAAAACTGGGACTCTACCTGAAATATAGAAGAAGAGAATGGATTTGGATATGTAACCAAAAACAGTCTTATTGCCAAAATATATATATTTTTTGAGACAGATTCTCACTCTGCTGCCTGGGCTGGAGTACAGTGACATGATCTCGGCTCACTGCAACCTCGGTCTCATGGGTTCAAGCGATTCTCCTGCCTCAGCCTCCTGAGTGACTGGGATAACAGTTAGTCACCACTATGCCCAGATAATTTCTTGTACTTTTAGTAGAGATGGGTTTCACCATGTTGGACAGGCTGGTCTCGAACTCCTGATCTCATGATCTACCTGCCTCGGCCTCCCAAAGTGCTGCGATTACATGGGATTACAGGCATGAGCCACCGCGCTTGGCCACCAAAATATTTGTGTGTGTGTGTGTGTGTGTGTGTGTGTGTGTGTGTAGGTTTACTCATTATGAGACATAAAAAAAGGAAGTGGTGCCAATACCACTCATACAGGCAAATTGGACTATATTAAAATTTAAAACTTCTGTGCATCGAACAGCGTAATCCACAGAGTGAAATGACAACCTACAAAGTGGGAGAAAATGTTTGGAAATCACATATCTCATAAGGAATTAAAATCCAGAATATATCACAAATTCCTGTAAGGCAGCAGAAAACAAACAAATGAAAGAACAAATAACTTGATTTAAAACTGAGCAAAGGATTTGAATAGATACTTCTTTGTAAAACATAAACAAATATCCAGCAAACATATGAAAAAACATTCAATATCATTAATAATTTGGGAAATTCAAATCAAAACCATATTAAGAGACCACCTCCCATCCATTAAGATGGCTCCTGTGGGAAAAAAAAAAAAAGAAACAGAAAATAACAAATACTATGGGGATATGGATAAATTGTAACCCTAGTGAAATTTTCATGGCAATGTAAAGTAATGCAACCACTACAGAAAACAATATGGTGATTCCCCCAAAATTAAACATTAAATTAAAATCCAGCACTTTTGCTTCTGGATACATAGCCAAAGTAATTAAAGCAGGTTATCTCCAAGAGATTTGCACAGCCATATTCACAGCAGCATTATTCACAAGTCAACAGGTTAAAGCAACCCTAGTGTCCATGGATGGGTGGATTAAAAAAAAGTGGTGTATACATACAATGGAATATTATTCAGCTTTAAAAAGAAAGGACATTCTGACACAAGCTACACCATAAATAAACATTGAAGGCATTATGCTATGTGGAATAAGCCAGTCACAAAAGGACAAGTACTGGATGATTTCACTTATAAGAGTTACCTAGAGGAGTTCAGCTGATGGAAAGTAGAATGGTGGTTGCTAAGGGATTGGGGAAAGAGGAAATGGGGAGTCATTGTTTCACAGATACAGAGTTTTAGCTTTGCAAGGTGAAAATAGTTCTGGAGATTGATTGCAAAACAATGCAATGCAGTTAACACTACTGAACTTTACACTTAAACATGGTTAAGATGAAAAATTTTGTTATGTGTACTTTAGCACAATTTTTAAAAAGTAGTTTCCCAGAGGACTGCCAGACACTGAAATCCTAATGGTAAGAATCTGTAGATTCCCAAAAGTTGAGAAGAAATCAGACAGGACGTAAGTTTCAGTCACACGGTATGACTTCTGAAAAAACCCCAACAGCACTTTGTAAGAGAAAGCGCCATAAACAGCAGATCTCTGTGCTTCTGTTTCTCTTTTCCATGAAATGTTTAAGAAACAGCAGCCAATGAATAGAAGATTTGATGACGCTAGGGGAAAAAAACGAAGCAGCAAAACGGCTTGCCTCCTCTTCTTCAGGCTTCCAAGTAGAGTTTAAATTGAAGTTTGGAGTTTCAATGTTGTGCTAGACTGGATCTATTTATTTCTGATGTGAGACTGCTCTTGTTACTTCAAGGAACCATAAAAGCCTTGGGGTTGACTCCAGCCTACCCAGATGTAGGGATTTCTAAGTCTCAGAGCAAACTTAGTGGAAAAGTAAAGTTAATTCTGTGTGTACATACCAAAGTGCGTTTCTTTCCAACCACAAGATTCACGTGTTTCTCTGTTCTCTGATCCCTGTGTATGCATTTTTCCCATTTTCATGAGTGTGTCTGAGAGCTGTGGGTTAGTGATTTTTCCTTGACCATAAATCCAGTAATTTCATTTCCTGTTGAGTGGAAGGAAAGAAGGGCAGAACCTTAAGAAATATTTCATTCATACAAATTACTTTTTTCATAAATATGCAATATTTTCTGGAACCTTATGATCGTGTTGGAGTTTTGTTTCCTATTTATTTCATTAACCATTTCATAAGGAAAGGTTTCCTCTGACTCCTTAGAATGGACAGCTTCTTTAAAACCTTTACATCATTGCATCGGACTGTAATTATTTCCATTTTTCTAGCATTGGATTTTGAGATGAGTTACTTCAGAAAGAGTATTTAAATGTTTTAGACAAAAGTAGATTAAAAACTCTGTATCATTGTCACAGGTTTTGAGGTTTAGAAGCCAACTTGAGTTGCAGTAACCAAAAATGTGGTCTGGCAACGCCCATGGCCCCTGCTGGGTAACGATCTGAAGATGGTCTGAAGCTGTCTGGCAGCGGTCCCTTGACGGGCCTCACTTCCAGGCACTCCTGCACAGAGCTGCGTGGTGCTCATTCCCCATCAAATCTCCCATTGCCCTGAAAAATTTAAAAAGGCAGAGATGGTGACAACTAGACCTAGCATTTTGGTGTGTAAGTGCCTATATTTCAGGTTTTTTGCTATTGTTGTGGCAGCCTGAATTTAGGACTTTGTGCTAGCAACAGGTTACAGCAACCCTAGTGTCCATCAATGGGTGGACTAAAAAAGTGTCGTATATACATACAATGCAATATTATTCAGCCTTAAAAAGGAAGGACATTGTGACACAAGCTACAACATAAATAACCATTGAAGGCATTATGAAGCTTCTTTTACAGCAAAGTTATTTTCCATTAACCTTAGTAGCTGGGCTCTTGCTTCAGTCCATAAGCTTTCTGTGACTTGACCTAGACTAGCAGGCATTTAGTCCATAAAAGAAACATAATGAATGTCCTGATGCCTCTCGATCATCTGGAAAATATTACCTGGGCACCTAAATACTTGATAAATGCTGTGAAAAACATGGGATTGGGTGGTGAATAGGTTGACTGACAACGTATGTAGAAGAGTGGGGAGAGTGTATTTTAGGGTGGGTGGTGAGACTAAACCACTCTTCTCATTAAAAGAATGTATGCTGCCTATACAAATTTGTCTTCATTTTTTTAGCCAGTCCACTCCAATGGGCTTATAGATATGGTGGCCATATTTAGCAAATTAAGACACAAGATTTCCAGTTAAATTTGAATTTCAATCGACCACAAATAATTGCAGAGACAACAAATATAAACATTGATGAGCAATACTTTAAAAATAAGTCTTTTTTTTTTTTTGAGACGGAATCTGGCTCTGTCGCCCAGGCTGGAGTGCAGTGGCGCGATCTTGGCTCACTGCAAGCTCCGCCTCCCGGATTCATGCCATTCTCCTGCCTCAGCCTCTGAGTAGCTGGGACTATAGGTGTCCGCCCCCACGCCCGGCTAATTTTTTTGTATTTTTAGTAGAGACGGGGTTTCACCGTGTTAGCCAGGATGGTCTCGATCTCCTGACCTCGTGATCCGCCCGTCTCGGCCTCCCAAAGTGCTGGGATTACAGGTGTGAGGCACTGCACCCGGCCTAAAAATAAGTCATTTTTATCTGAAATTCAAATTCTGTTTTCCCACACATAGCTACATTATTTACTGCATGTAAGTAGGTACATTCCTGCTCTGCTAGGTAAACCCCCAATTTCAGTCATTTGGGGAGATGAATCTGAGACTGATCTGCAGTTCTTCTCAGCTGCAGCACCTGAATAAAGTCATCTGCGCAGGAAATACTTGCCTCAGTGATGGGCATTCTGTGCAATGAGTAATGGCACCTAGACTGAACCTCTGGCATTTCAGTAACAGATTTTGTTTCCCTCATCAGGAAGACATTGCTCTCGGCTTGGCTATCACCAGCTGGGAGAATTTCTGCAACCCTAAGCAGCAGCCCAACTGTTTTAGGCAGGATGTGGGTTTAGTCTCTATTTAGCATTACTGCTCCCAGTCCCAACCACATTTCTGATTGTCTAGGAAGAACAGCCTCTGAAATTTGACATCTGCGTGTGGATAGGTGAGTGTCTTTGTGGGTACCAACAGTGGGAATGGCTCCTCTCAATTTGAGAAATTCTGAAGGAATTTCCATTGGCAATTAAACAAGCCCAACTGACGGAGAGAGGGAACACCCTGACTGTTCCAGTTCAGACACTCTTGGGACTTGTTAGGAATTCTGCATGTGTCTGGATAAGGGAGTGTCATTTGTGGGTCCAGACAGCAGGATGTGCTCTTCTCAATTTGAGAAATTCTGAAGGCATCTCCATTTGCAGATTGAACAAGCCCAGCAAACAGGGAGAAAGCAACTCAACTGTTTCAGTTTGGACTCTCTTGGGACTTGCTTATTGTTTGTGTGTTGATGTAGCTGTGGGAGATGAGGGTTTGGTCTGAGTGCAGACCACTTGGGTGTATTCTTCAGGGTTGGTCTGCATATGGCTGTGGGCCAGTGGAGCGAGGGAATATTATACCCATATCACACTGAACATGCCCAATCTCATCTGACCTCAGACAGTCTTTGAATTGTAGCGCTGCCTTATATTTGGATTTATTTTGCTGTTGAATGCAAATATGGGATGGAAGTCGACGTCTCCAGGCTTCCATGCTGCTGCTCTAAGGAGAGGCAGGTCTGATTAGTATGTAGTGCTGGTTGGCTACAAAGTTCTTTGGAGTCTGGAGAGGTCTGACCTGTAAAAATCAAACTGTCAGCTGGGCGTAGGAAACTGAGGTGGGCAGATACTTGAACCCAGGAGTTCTAGACCAGCCTGGGCAACATGGTGAAACTCTGTCTCTACAAAAAAATACAAAGATTAGCTGGGTGTAATTGTGCATACCTGTAGTCCTCAGGAGGCTGAGGTTGGAGGATTAACTCAGCCTGGGAGGTTGAGGCTGCAACGAGCCTTGATCACACCACTGTACTTCTAGCCTGGGTGATAGAGACCCTGTCTCAAAAAATAATAATAATCAAACTATCATGGAAACTGCTTTACTCAAAATTTTGTTTCACGACCTTTATTGGATTACCTATCAGAACAAATAAAGTTTAACCATGTGAACATGTTCATAAACCAGTGAGTTAATATTGCTCTCTCACAGCTGGCATTTAAAGGTAAAGCTATTGGATCTTGTGCATATGTAGGTATATGTGTCTAGATGTTACGTGTTGTTTTCAGAGGGTATCAAGTTGGCTTATAAATTAAAACGTGTTCAGAAGTTAAGTAAATGAGTCTAAGCATTTTTCAAGTTTACATGACTTAAGTAAATCTTTAATGAACAAGATAGCTTTTAGATCATTTGTAAAATAAAACTAGAAATGTCTTTGGAATTGTCAGCATACCTTTTTGTTTGGGTTTTACATTTGTCTCTGCTAGATATTTAAAGGTGTCAGGGTTTGGCAAAAAGGTTATAAGACTATAAACCCAGTCAAGAACAAGATTATCTTTGTGTGATTTTTTGATAAATAAGAGTAATTTAACATTGTTGATTTAATAAAAATAGCTGAAACTTTTGCATTATTAGTGCAAGTATCCATGTATTTAAGTTTATGGTTTTGTTTTGTTTCGTTTTGTTTTTTTCTTATTTTATTTGACCGTGACAGCAGTTAAGGCGAGAGGGAAAAAATAAAATAAAATACAGGAACTAACAAAATTGATGGAGATAGGTTCATTTCAGGCTCCTTCATGGGGAGACAAGCTGAAAGCAACAAAACACAACAAAGTTGCACTTTGGAGATATAGATCTGAGAAGTATTCAATAAGTAACAGATTATAGAATCAAAATGGAAACCTCTTGTCCAATCAATATTTTAAGAAAATCTTGTTCTAACACAGGGGACTAATCTATATCTCTCTACCCTAGTTACTGGTTCCTTTCTATCTTGTTTCATAAACAACCTAAGTCCATAATTTGAATTAACCTTTAGATAACTTCTGAGTTAAACAAAATTATTTCTTTAATCAATAAGAACACGTCTTCTTTGGCACATTATGTACGTGGAATCATACAATTTGCTAAAATTCTTATTCTTAGTAACCTTAAATTTTAATGGAAACCTAGGAAGCAAGAAATTCTGAGCTGTCTATCAGATATTAACATTTTATAGATGAGGAACATGAATGTTCTCAGGCCCAGAAATCTCAAGTTATTTTGGGACCTCAAGAAAAGAGGAATTCACCCAATTCATACACGTATCTGCAAGCACAGATAAATTCTTGGTTGTGCTCAAGAGGCTTTTAAAAATCAAATCTGAGATTCCTTATGAAAAGTTCTAGCAAAGCCAATTAAAAGGAGCCTATATGAACAATAGTTCTTGCTGCAGTTTATGCAAATAATGAGGCAAACTATAATAAGATTTAAACTGATTTTGTAAATAACTTGGTCCTACTATGATTTGCCTTTTATGGAAATAGGGAAGTGGAGAAAGAAACATTATGTTTTGGAAGAAAACTGTAGTATACCTGTTATTAGATTAATCTTTGGCCTGTGGCAACCTGGTCACCCATGGTATGGAGATACATCTGTGCTGTGCTGCATTCAGTTATTAAAAGTATAAGTTACCAGTGGAATTTAGATATGGATTCAACACCTAAGAAGTTGGTTCACTGGATGCATAAGGAAATAAAAACTAATTTTTTAAAAAAGCAAAATTTTCAAACCCTTGGTTTTTGTTATCAATGTAAACCAAAATGTATCTAAGGCAGGTCTCAATTTCAAAGTTTATTTTGCCAAGGGTAAGGATATGTGCCTGGAACACAGGTCTGTCCCTTTCTCCAAAGATTATTTTGAGGGCTTCAATATTTAAAGGGGAAAGGGAAGATATTGAGGAAAGAGGAAGAAATTTTACAAAGGTGTGGGTAGGGCCGGGCTCGGTGGCTCCTGCCTATAATCCCAGCACTTTTGGAGGCCAAGGTGGGTGGATCACCTGAGGTTAGGAGTTCGAGACCACCCTGACCAACATGGACAAACCCCATCTCTACTAAAAATACAAAAATTAACTGGGTGTGGTGGTGCATGCCTGTAATCCCAGATACTCGGGAGGCTGAGGCAGGAGAATCACTTGAACTGGGGAGACAGAGGTTGCAGTGAGCTGAGATCCCACTGCACTCCAGCCCAGGTGACAGAGTGAGACTTTGTCTCAAAAAAAAAAGAAAAAAAAAAAGATGTGGGTAGTAGATAAGAGAAAATGGTTGTATTCTTTTGAGACTTTGATCAGCCTGTCACTGCATACACAATTACATGTGAGAGTGGGGTAAAGAAATAGTCACTTATGCCTCAGTCTAGTTCAGTGAATCTGCATTTTTATACAAACGAACGGGCAGAGGAAGCAATCAGGCATGCATTTGTTTCAGATGAGCAGAGGAATGACTTCAAGTTCTGTCCTTTGTCCCATGCCTGTGAAGACAAGCTATCAATTTACATTGCCAGGGTGAAATTCAATGGAATAAAATGGGAGTCAGGTGTGCCTGACACAGTTCCGAGCTTGACTTCTCTCTTAGGCTTAGTGATTTGGGGGTCCCAAGATTTATTTTCCTTTCACATCTATAACAGATAAAATTAAAGTAGGAGAATATTGTGTCAGGCCTTGAGGCTAAACCAAGCCTAGATGTGGGTCTGTCTGAACTCAGGCCACTAGCCTCAAGGCTGCTCACTAAGGAGAAAATCAGGCCAGGAAACCAGAAAGTACCTCTGAGACCTGTAGTTTCCTGAAAGGTAGTCAGCGTGGGGAAGGAGTGAAATTTAAGTCACTTCTGAAACTAGAGGGTATAATGTGAAGGAATTGTTCCATTTTGTAAATCAGTATCATTAGCTTCCTGAGGAATCTTTACTAAAATAAATTGTGAGAGTAATTAATATAGGCGCAACGTCTTTGGTTTTAAATGCTGCAGAGTGGAAGAGCCAGTTGACATAGAACCCACAGCTCACAACTGAAGAATTGCAGATGGGTATATGTAATACAGACACATAGGAGGCTATTCCCCCCAAAAAACAGCCTACTTTATGGACTGGATAAAACACTGTGAGACCTATTTACTCACAAGAATTGTCCCACTCCACCTATAAATGCCAAGTGGAGCACTCCAGATGAAGCAACAGATAAGCTTCAAATATAAGCCATGGGGGACTGGCTTTATAATGATGTGGCAGGCCGGGTCTCACTCATGCGGGCCTCCATAACAACTGTTTCAGGACTGACTGAGTAGTTAAGTTAAAAGTTAAAAGCTAAAAGAGCCCGTGCCCTCATCCAAAGGGTGGATTGTAACAAAAACCCACCAAGAGTTTTGCCTAGGACTTTCCCGGGACCATGACAAGATAATGAAGGGATTCTTAACAGGACCAGTTTAGGATTAAACAAGGTTTACTAGGGGTCTGAAGAAACATCCCAGGCCTCCACAAACAAGTTTATTGGAGGTCTCAAGGAACTTCCCAAACCTCCATGATCTAGCAGGAGACAAGATAGGGTAATCACCCCAGCACCTGGACCCATTTAGATTAAGTAAATTTACTGAGCCTCCAGAGGAAGGTCTTCAGAACTCAGATCTCAGTTATAGATTAAAATAAGCTAAACACTCATGTTTTTAGATGAATGCATGTACACACAGACATATAATTTATAATTTAGACATATAATTTAGGCAGGTGGATCATCTGAGGTCAGGAGTTTGAGACCAGCCTGGCCAACGTGATGAAACCCCATCTCTACTAAAAATACAAAAAATTAGCCGGGCGTGGTGGTGGGTGCCTGTAACCCCAGCTACTCTGGAGGCTGAGGCAGGAGAATCTTTCGAACCAGGGAGGCAGAAGCTGCAGTGAACAGAGATTGTGTCACAGAACTCCAGCCTGGGCGAGAAGAGTGAAACTCTGTTTCAAAAAAAAAAAAGAAGAAGAAAGAAATATTAATCTTACTTTTTGGTTTTTGGCTCTTTCATTGCTTAGAGTTTTAATGGTTAATGAGTCCCTGGCACCTCGATTCTTATCTGGCCTAGAATGTTTAATTGACTATAAGTCTTTTTTAACTCTAAGTCCCTCGGCTACAGGGGTTCCACTGAGGAACAGGATGGACATGGGACAGGTAGTCACACCATCCTGGAAATGATATGGAACAAAATAAAGTTTGGCAATCAATGCTCCCTCTGGCATATTCCAAGGGAACCTCAGTTTCCAAGAGATAAATCTTACCTGGGAAAAGATCTTGCCCTTTGCCCTGCTGAGGGTGCTGGCAGCTCTCAGAAATGGCATAGCTCTTAGCCCCTTTCAAAATGTTGACTTGGAGACCATTTTCCTGGACTCTCTGAGGCTTGAGGATTTTTTCCTCCCCTGAAACAGAAGCTAGGTCGTACATGAAACAATTAGGGAATATATTAACTAGTCTCTCCAACAGGCTTCATTTCTGTATGAAGGTGCCTCTTCTCTGTTTGAAACCAGGGAATCAAATCATACCGAAGACCTGGAAATCACACCAGACTGAAGACTAGCTGCAACCACAATAGGTCGGTCTTTTTGAGGTGCTGCTGACCACCCACTTGTCTACCAAGTTAGCCAGTGTTAAACCATGAATTCAACATACTCAGTAAAACCAGTCACTCTGGGATCTCTCTAGGGGAAACAGTCATGCTCTTGTGAACCTACACATGGCTTTAAGTTAATAATTCAAAGCCCAACCAAAGATCCTAGATAAGAAACTGTAAAAGGAACATACACTTTTCAGGTTGTTATTATTCTTTTTAAAACCACAGCTTTTCACATATAAGATATAATGAATCAGGAATACTTTTTGGTAGACTTAGGATTGTTCTCTTGGATTCCCCATGGGATCCACTCCAAATTCTCTGGTATTTTAAAATTGGTTTATCTATATTATTTATCATCCTAGTTCAATGTGGCCTCAAATGTGGTTCTAAAATTAAAATAAAAGTACCCCGATCATAGTGCTCCAACAAGCCAGATGCTGACCCGGTACTCATGAGTATTTCTGATTATAGTGCCACATTTCCATTCCTTATCATTATCGCACCTCACCCCTCCTCAGCATGAAGCAGCCGGAAGGATCAGCGACCAGATTCTCCATGATTGAGGAAGTGATAAATGGAAAAGAGAGACTGAAACCGGCCCTGTTGTCTCATAGAACTCATAGAACTCCTAGAGCTAGTATTTACAGGTGGGTTTTTTTGGTTTTTTTGTTTTTTGTTTTTTTTTGTAACAGAAATGGACCCTGTCTGGTAGTCCCAGCTACTCAGGAGGCTGAGGCAGGAGAATTGTGTGAACCCGGGAGGCAGAGCTTGCAGTCAGCCGAGATCAGGTCAGTGCACTCCAGCCTGGCCGAGAGAGCGAGACTCCGTCTCAAAAACAAAAACAAAAACAAAAAACAAAACCAAAAACAAACAAACAAACAAAAATAAACAAAACTTATTTGCTTTCCTGAGATTCTTCCTCAGGAAACCGACTTTCAGGCAAGGAACTGAAACTCATCAGAGCACCATACCCAGAAAATGAGACTACAGATCCTTCAGTCAGCATGATTTTTTCCTTACCTCTGCCTAATTTCGATTTTCCCCCGTCCATGTAGTGTCAAACTTTGTTAAAATATTTAAAGAGATTTATTCTGAGCCAAATATGTGAGACTATGCCCATGACACAGCCCTCAGGAGGCCCTGCGCACATGCGCCCAAGGTGGTTCAGGTACACACTGGTTTCGAACATTTGAGGGAGACATGAGACTTCAATTAACTATAAACATTTACTGATTGGTAATTGGTTGAGTTTATCTAAAGACCTGGAATCAATAGAAAGGAAATGTCTGGGTTGTGATAAGAGCTTGTAGAAGTCAAGGTTTTATCATGCAAATGAAGTCTCCAGATAGCAGACTTGAGAGAGAATAGACTGTAAGTATTGATACCTGAGAGCTATAATGAAACATGTTCGACACCCACTTCCTGTCATGGCCTGAACCCGTCTCTCAGTTGGACACCCACTTCCTGTCATGGCCTGAACCCGTCTCTCTGGGTTAAATTTTCAAACAGCCCTAGTTGAAGAGGAAGTCCATTCAGATGGCTGGGGGGCCTTAGAATTTCATTTTTGGTTTACCTCCCCAACACAGCTACATTTCTGCCTGCACATAGCTACATTTCTGCCTGCACGTAGCTACATTCCTTCCTCACCGAATAACCTCTCAATTTTAGTTTGCTGGAGAACAAACCCAGAATAAAGCCAATTCTAGTCATAGCACTGCAGCTTGTATCAGATGAAAGAAACCTACAAAAAGATAATTATAAAATGTGGATAAAACATATAAAACAACTGAGAAGGCAAAATTTGAGGGGCTCCAATTAATCAAGGTTTACTGCTTATATTCTATGTGACTGCCAGAAAAAAAGAAACAAAACTTTTTGGTAGGAAGATCATTTAAAATCTCTGTTTTTAATACATAAAGCCTGTCATTTAATTAAAAATTATGAAACAACCTAAAAAGAAAAAGAACTAAATATCAAAACACCAATTGACAAATCAAATGATAAAAACTGACCTACATACGGTTCAGATAATGATATCAGTAGATCTACTATTCACCATTCTAATCCCTTTGCAGTGCCCTAGGATGCTGACTCTCACGTATAATATCCCTGGACACTATTGTCCTGAAGCTCTAGATATGTTGGTACCAATAGGAAGAATAGGCAAAGATTTAAAGGTGGGAGAATCCTTCCCTACAGCACTAGGAAATGGATATGAAGTTGTTCTCACTGAGTGTACCTCCGGGGAGGCAGCCTTCATCAGCTGTACTTTCTGCTGCTTCAGTTAATTGCTACCAGCATTGTTCTCTCAGGCCTAATGGTAGTAATGGCTTCTCACAGTAGCTAGCCCTGGGGTATTTCACTATCCCTCATTGGTTTCCTTTGGTCTTAGCTACATCTTGTAAGTTGTCTTGTTATTTTATCTTCTTAAATTTTCCTTTTAATGTATAACCTGTTTTTTGGTTTTTGGATCCCAAGTGTGTGTTTCCTTTTTGTACCTGAGTATATCACTGTCACTATGGTCTCTCACCTTTTAAATGATGTGACTCTGAAGGTGTGTGTCTCCAACTTTTTATCCCTGTGCACTTTTCTTCACCTATCTTCATTTCTTTCTCTTTTTTCCATTATAACAACCCACAAAAAATATATAATTTAGGTAATGGATAATGTATCACTTATGTTTAATATTGGAAGACATTTGTAATTATATTTGCAGATTGTCTCTTAGTATTCAACTGGAATGAAAATTGATATAGGTTGATTTCATATCTCTTCTATTGCAAAAAATGCTGCAATAAACGTGGGAGTGCAGGTATCTGTAGTATATATGCATAATGGAATATTATTCAACCATAAAAAAGAAATAAATTCCTGTCATTTGCAGAAACATGAGTGGAACCGAAGATCGTTATGTTAACTGAAATAAGCCATGCACAGAAAGACAAATATCACATGTTCCCACTCATATGTGAGAGCTAAAAGAATGAATCTCATGGAGGCAAAGAGTAGAATTGTGGTTACCAGATGCTTGGAAAGGGGTGGTGGGGGATAAAGATAAGTTGGTTGGGTACAAAAATAAAATTAGACAGAAGGAACAAATTCTAGTATTTGATAGTACAGTGGGAAAACTATAGTTAACAATAATTTATTGTATATTTCAAAATAGCTAAAAGAGAAGAATTGTAGTATTCCCAACAGAAGGAAAAGGTAAGTGTTTGAGGGAATGAATATTTTTATTACCCTGATTTGGTCATCACACACTGTATACAGGTTTCAAAATATCACATGTACCTCTAAAATATGTACAACTATTGTATATCAATAACAAAATTTAAAAAAAAAAACTGATATAGGCTGTGAAGGGCAAACCATTAAATCATCTCAGATCTCAGCTTATTCATGTGCATATAAATGTTTTAGCTGGCTCTAAACCAAGGATTTTGTATGAAGTAATAGTTATTCAAATATTTTCAACAAAATAGAGTACCTTGCAAACAGGACTTTGAGATTTTTCATTTGTTTCCTCTTACAATTCATCACATACTCTTCATCTTCTAGTGTTGATTGATGAAACCATCTTCCACATGAAACAACAGAGCAATATAACACAGAACGAGACTCTGCCTGTGTGGTGGCCGGTTTCCATCCTTTCACAAACAAAGAGATATTTATAAACAAATATTTATGTACAAATATTTGATCCACCTAGGAAAAGCAGAGGGCTAGTCTTTCCCACCAGGGGAGGCATTAGAGCCTGTGCACGTATTTGAACAAGGTAACCGGAGACTTTGGTCCAGTCTGAACTCTACCACTCACCAATTGTGTGATGTTGGATACAAACTTAACCACTTCACAACTCACTTCCCCATCTGTAAAATAAGGATGATAATAATACCTGGTTTAGAGAGTTGTAAAGATAAAATCAACATTAATAAAGTACTTAGGATGAAGTAATCATGTTTTGAATATATTTTCCTTTAAATTTGGCTGCCAATATTTTCATGGTAATATTTTCAACTGTATTTCAATAGCTTTTTCTTTAAGCATCAGGAGAAAAATCTACTATTGTTTTAATTAAATCGACATTGAATTTTTTGATACATTTAGGAGAATTTAGTTTCTTTTCATACAGTATTGATGCTTCTAATCCCACAGCATGTTTTTCTATTTTTTTTCTTTTCTTCAATAGCTTTAAAACTGTTTTGTTCATATTGGTTGTGCAAATATCTAGTTAATTTCTATCTGTAATATTTTTCTATGTATTTTTAGTAGCTCTTATAAAGGGAGCCTTTTATTTTTCCTGTCTATCCTGACATAATAAAGCAATTAGTTTTTAATTGATTTTTTAAAATCTTTGTGCATTCTCTTTTATATGTATAATAATCATGCCTAACCATTTTGTGATTTACATGTGGCAATGTCAAGAAGAATTTTACAGTAAGATTTACTAACGAATATTAGAAAACATACTCAAAAACAGTCCTCTCCACCCCTCACTTCCACTTGCATACTTGATCAAGACATGAGATCAAAAATACTAAGACTATTGAGTCTAACTAATAAGACACAAATGTGGACTTTGGAGACTCATTTCCTTCCCACTTTTGGTAGCTTAGCTGAGGAGGCGATCAAATGGATTGAGTCAGTCTGTAGAGAGAGAGCAAGGCTGATTATAGTTTTCCTGGCCTGCAAAGCTGTTCCCAGTGTCCTCAGTATACAGACCTTGGTCATCAGTATACATACTCCCTGGTGTGGTTTCTGGGCCTCAGATCCCTTAATATGTAGGTTGGCACTAAAGTAATTTTGTAAACATTTAAAGGCAAAAACCACAATTACTTTTGCTTTTAATGGCAAAAACCACAATTACTTTTGCACCAACCTATATCTTGTTATTTAGAGAAACTAGGCGTTCCCTACCTCTCTTGGGCAAACCTATAGCTATGTAACATGGCAGTGGAATGACACTAACTGCCTCATTCTCCCTGGGAGTGCTCTCTGCATGTTCAGTCTCCCAGTGAAGAGAACCCTTCTATCAGGACCTTCATCATGATACAAAAGGAGTATCTATGCCAGGCCACAGCTGCAGATCAGTGAGTGTCTGAGAACTGTATCTTTTCTGTTATTTTTCTGCTTGAAAGTTTTTCACCAATAAATCCTGCACTATGTCTGCACCATATGGTGCTAGTTATTTGTGTTCTCTTGCATGACGCTGGTAATATTATCCAAACACAATTTCAAAAACTACTTTCTGTAGTTGGTAAATATACAGAAATTGAGAAAAAGGAAGAAATATGAGGAAGAAAGATATTGCCTGTTTCAACAGTTCAGTGTTTTTAACTGAAGCCACAGATGAGACATCGCTCATTTGCAGACATATGGGTCATTGGTACAGTCAGTTTATGAACAGAAGTTTAAACTTGTAAGCTTAAGCTTCTGTTTATAAACAGAAGTTTAAAATTATAGGTCCTGTTTAATATTCAGCTCTGTTAACTCACTCTCACCTTTTTGTGTTTTTACACTTTGTCAAGATTTCTTTACATATTCATCAATGTCTGAAGAAGTTACTTATGCAGATCTTAAATTCCAGAACTCCAGTGAGACAGAAAAAATCCAAGAAATTGGCAAATTTGGGGAAAAAGGTAAGATTTTGAGTTATGGATGTGTCGTAAGTTTGTGTAATAGAAGTGGTTACAGCCTTGCATCTTCAGTATTAGCAATACAGTTATTATTCAACTTAAATTTTCAATTAAGCCTCTTATGTTTAAGCAAAGGAACCAAAAGTATATAAACAAAATGATTAGGAAAAAAGGGTTCTGTAAAAACACTTATCTGTGCATTGAAGACTCAATCCTTTACATTTTTGAAATTTTTTATCACACTCAATATAATTGGGACAGAATTTTTCAAATGATTGGGTTGTGTGAAGATTTTATTTCTTTATGAGATGAAGCCATGGAAAAAGGAACATGTTCAGGAAAGTCATGATTTCACATCTGTGTATGTGTGTTTTTTTAATAAGAAAATGCTTTGGGCATGCATGCAGAAAAGAAGGAGAGACAGACAAAGAGTCAGAGAGATCTTTAAAGGATTTCATTTGACTATCTGCCAAACTAGGCATATATCACCCTAAAATTTCTCCTACTTCTTTTGGAGATTTTTAAATAACTTACTAAAAAATAAAATATGTTAAGTTAAATGAAGTGAATAATTAAGGAATAAAGGAAGTAAAGAAATATCAGAAGACATAACGTATTCATAATATTCAAAACCACATAATATCAGGAAACTTTGTATTTTTCAATTCAAATTAAAATCACGAAATAAGTGGACCATCTGTGTTGACTTTCACTTAAACAAAACTACTCTTCATCTTACTCAGAATCCTATAGTTTTCCTATTATGTATGGTTCTTACCTTCTGGCTCCCAGCCTTTTGGAGTGAAATCTGCCCTAGTGAATCCATAGTTTAAACCAGTGTATTTGAGTTAAAAGTAACTTAAACAGTGATAATGGAGAACACAAAGAAGGGTGATAGAAACAGAGAAATAAGGAGAGAAGAGTGCCAAAATTCTCATATATTATTTAACTTTTTGTCCCCTCCCCTATCCCCACACAGAATATAACATCTTTAATATTCTAGCATTGCTATAAACAGAAATTTCACTGTTACATCTTGAATCTATTTATCATGAGCATTGTAAATCTTGAGAAAGGACAGCAGATTAATTCTGTGGGCTTCTTTTTTAATACTGAAATTTTCTTAGAAAGAAGAAGGGTCTACGAATTTTATAACGTTTTCTGTCTTTATTTCCCTGTTTGTATTTCTTCTTCTATATGCCGAAAGAGAATGGGCATATCATGAGCTTAATATTACCAACAATTGCCCTTTACTTGTCCCCTCATGCCCTTTCCCACCTCTTTTCCTGCCAATCCACCTTAAGTTCCCACCACAAGAATTCTTTGAATTCATGCAAATATTGAATCCATGTCTTCTTCATGTTCTTAATCTCATCTAATTTTCTCATTATCCAGCTTAGAATCCACATTATGTAATACAACATTGTATTATGTAATGTCTACTCTTAGTCTCTTACATTTCTCCTTTTCAATGTATGTTAATTTTTCCTTAAAAACTTCAATTCTGGTTAGGGGCAGTGACTTATACCCATAGTCCTAGCACTGTGAGAGGCCAAGATGGGAGGATTATTTGAGGCCAGGAGTTTGAGACCAGCCTGGGGAAAGTAGAGAGATGCCATGTCTATAAAAAAATTTTTTTTTTTTTAATTAACTGGGCACCCATTGTCTCAGCTGCTTGGAAGGCTGAGGAAAGAGGATCACTCGAGCTCAGGAACTGGAGGCTGTGCAGAGTAAGCTATGATCAGGTGACTGTACTTCAGTCTAGGTGACACAGCAAGATCCTGCCTCAGACAAATCAAAACAAAACAAAACGAAAAACCCAAAAACCAACAAATAAAAACAACTCCAGTTCTGGTTAAACCCAAATATCTACCCAGTCTGCCCCAGAGTTGAATATTGCTGGTGAAAAATGCACACATTTTCGACTCCAGTTACTCTTACCTTTCCTCTGGTGAGAAAAAAGCATCAACCTACACTTTTTATTTTTGTTATTTAAATTTCTACCCTACAATGTCTTTACTGATACTCTGCCTTCCTTCCAGACAGTATTGACGATAGGTATGTACTTATGAAAGGACAGCTCCCCATTTTGCTCTGAATTTCAGTCCATGTGTCCTTTTCAAAGACAGACTTCTGTAATTTTTTTCCTTTCTCTCCTGTGTCATTATTCTCTCTTCCTTCTCTGCTTTTCCTTTTTAGTGCACTAACATACTCTACTACTCACCAACATATTCATATCATAACAAAACACAATCCTTGCTTGACCACTTAAGCCTTTCCATTATTATGTAACTTATTTGTTTCCTTTCACAGCTCAACTTTGGAAAGCATTTTCTTTGGCCACTGACTCTCAGTTCTTCACTTCTCATTCTGTTCTCAACCAACTCTATTAGGCTTCTGCCCCCATGGTGTCCTGGAGACTGAGCTTTAGGTCACTGATGTCTTGCCTGTTTCATCCCAGTAATCACATGTCTCCATCCCAGTAATCACATGTCTCTTCCATTACTTCACTTCCCTGCAGCATTCAAAAAGTTGAACAGTCCTCTAAAGGCTTTCTTTGCACATCCTTCCTGACACATCCTTATGGCTTCTCCTGTCACCTTGCCTGCCTCTCCTCAGTCTTTGTTGACTCTTTCTTCTAGATGAAACTCTACAAGATGGAATACTCTGGAGCCGTGTCCTGTGTCCCCTTTTATTGCATCACTCAATACACTCATCTAATCTACCTTGTTCAGTTGTTTGACTTTAAATAGAGGGACTCCCAGATATCTCTGTAGGACCTTTCCCTGGATCTCAAGACTAGAAAATACAAGTGCCTCTTTCACATTTCCATAAGGAGTTCTAATCTCATTTTAAACTTAAAATGTCAAAAATAGTAATACTTATTTTTCTTCTAAAATGGTCTCTCTCTCCAGACAGCCTCACCTCTGTGCCAGTTCTGTTCTAATTGCATTACAAATATTAAGCCATTTAGTGTCTGATATTTTGCAGTCTTTCTCTCTCCCTTTCTTTAACAATACTGAAGCTTAGACACATAAATGTTAAAAGATGTTAAATAACTTTCTCATGGTTTCACAAGCAATAAGCAGCAGAACCAGAATTCAAACCAAAACATGCTGATATGGTTTGACTGTGTCCCCACCCAAATCTCATCTTGAATTGCAGCTCCCATAAGTCCCACATGTTGTAGGAGGGACATGGTGGGAGGTAATTGAATCACGGGGGAGGGTCTTTCCCATGAGGTTCTTGTGATAGTGAATAAGTCTCATGAGATCTGATGGTTTTATAAAGAGGAGTTTCCCTGCACAAGTTCTCTCTTCTCTTGTCTGCTGCCACGTGAGATGTGCTTTTCACCTTCCACCATGAGTTTGAGGCCTCTCCAGCCACATGGAACCATGAGTCCATTAAACCTCTTTTTACTTATAAATTACCCAGTTGTGGGTATGTCTTTATCAGCGGTGTGAAAATGAACTAATGCAGTAAATTGTTACCAGTAGAGTAGGGCACTGCTGTAAAGATACCCAAACATGTGAAAGAGACTTTGGGACTGGGTAACTAGCAGAGGTTGGAATACTTTGGAGGGTTCAGAAGAAGACAGAAAAATGTGGGACAGTTTGGCACTTCCTGGAGACTTCTTGAATGGCTTTGACAAAAATGGCGATAAGGCTGAGGTGGTCTCAGATGGAGATGAGGAATTTGTTGGGAACTGGAGCAAAGGTGACTCTTGTTATGTTTTAGCAAAGTGACTGGTAGCAGTTTGCTCCTGCCCTAGAAATTTGTGGAACTTTGAACTTGAGAGAGACGATTTAGCATATCTGGCAGAAGAAATTCCTAAGCAGTGAAGCATTAAAGATTTGATTTGGGTGCTGTTAAAAGCATTCACTTTTATAAGGGAAGCAGAGCATAAAAGTTCAGAAAATTTGTGGCTTGACAATGATAAAGAAAAGAAAATCCCATTTTTTTGAGGAGAAATTCAAACCAGCTGAAGAAATTTCTAAAGTAATGAGGAGCCAAATGATAATCGCCAAGGCAATGGGGAAAATGACTCCAGGGCATATCAGAGGTCTTCACAGCAGCCCCTCCCATCACATGCCCAGAGGCCTAGGAGGAATAAATGGTTTTATGGACTGAGCCCAGGGTCCCTCTGCTGTGTGCAGTCTAGGAACTTGGTGCCCTGCATCCCAGCTGCTCCAGCCATGACTAAAAGAGGCTAAGGTACAGCTCAGGCCATGGCTTCAGAGGGTGCAAGCCCCAAACCTTGGTAGCTTCCATATGGTGTTGAACCTTTGAGGTGCACAGAAGTCAAGAATTGGGTTTTGGCAACTTCCGTCTAGATTTCAGAGGATGTATGGAAACACTTGGATGTCCAGGCAGAAGTTTGCAACAGGCATGGGGTGCTCATGGATAACCTCTGCTAGGACAGTGCAGAAGGGAAATGTGAGTTCAGAAGCCCCACACGGAGTCCCCAGTGGGGTACTGTCCAGTGGAGCAGTGAGAAGTCAAACACCATCCTTCAGCCCTCAGAATGGTAGATCCACTGACAGCATGCACTGTCCACCTGGAAAAGCTGCAGACACTCAATATCAGCCCATGAAAGCAGCCAGGGGGGAGACTGTAAAGCCATAGGAGCAGAGCTGCCCAAAGACATGGAAGCCTATCTCTTGCATCAGCATGACCTGGATGTGAGACATGGATCCAAAGGAGATGATTTTGGAGCTTCAAGATTTGATACCCCTGCTGGATTTTGGACTTGCATGGGGCCTATAGCCCCTTTGTTTCAGCTAATTTCTCCCATTTGGAATGACTGTATTTATCCAATGCCTGTACCCTCATTGTATATAGGAAGTAACTAACTTGCTTTTGAATTTACTGGCTCATAGGTGGAAGGGACTTGCCTTTTTTAAGATAGACTGTGGACTTTTGAGTTAATGCTGAAATGAGTTAAGACTTTTGGGGACTGTTGGGAAGGCATGACTGGTTTCAAAATGTGAGGACATGAGATTTGGGAGAGGTCACGGGTGCAATGATGTGGTTTGGCTGTGTCTCCACCCAAATCTCATCTTGAATTATAGCTCCCACAATTTCCACGTGTTGTTAGAGGGACCTGGTGGGAGGTAATTGAATCATGTGGTGAGGGTCTTTCCCATGCTGTTCTTGTAATAGTGAATAAGTGTCATGAGATCTGATGGTTTTATAAAGTGGTGTTTCCCTGCACAAGTTCTCTCTTCTCTTGTCGGCCACCATGTGAGACGTGCCTTTCACTTTCCACCATGATTGTGAGCCCCCACCAGCCATGTGAAACTGTGAGTTCATTAAACCTCTTTTTCCTTATAAATTGCCCAGTCTTGGATATGTCTTATTAGCAATGTGAAAATGGACTAATACACATGCTAACTCTAAAGATGGCATTTTGCTTTTTATCACTATGAGATACTGCGTACAAATGTGCATATCTACCAACTTTCTCTAAAGAAAAATTTCATAAATTTGTGCCATAGATTTTAGCTTAAAAATGTATACTTAATTTATCCATGGGTCATCAAATTCCCTAGTGCTAGCTAATCAAACTACTGTTCTCTTTCCATGTCATATTGTAACAGATTTCTTACTGATAAAACAACTCCTTTATTTTGCCATCCTAGATTAAATTCTTCCATTGGTTTCCCCAAAAATCTAACTTACTCTGGCTAGAAAAGGCTGTAAATAATGTTTCCTCCTTGTTATTTTAAAAACAAAACAAAAGAAAACAAATAAAACCTCCTTTAACGTAATTTTTCACATTGGCCACCCTTCTTCTGCCCCTCTGAATATATTCTGTTTTTCAAATAGAAATCTTTTCCTTAAATTGTTGTCTTTGAACTTCATGTAATTGCTACCTGTAATATTATTCCTACTGATTTTGCATGCTGGTTCCTCATGTTCATAAGATTTGAACTGCCTGCTCTTTATAACAGCTTAATTTCAAATCTCTGCACAACATAGCCAAATTTGAGATCTTTTCTCCCTTTCTTTCCCTTTCTTCCTGTCTCACTTATATATCTATTTATCTATTTCCTCCTACAATTAAAATTTATTTCTATGAAAACAGCAACGTGTACATCTTGCTCACTTCGATATTGTTAGCACCCAGGATAATGCCTAATAAATACAAGGCACTCAAAAGATAACTTTGAATAATTAAACTTTTTAATAATTGAATAAGTTCATTGAATAAATAAACTTTTGAATAATTGAATACATATATAAATAAGAAAATAATTTTAAGAAAGAGTGCTTGAATTTATAATTCTAATCTTAGATAAAAATCTTGAACAAGTAGTCCTTTCAGTAGTAACTATTTTCTAAAGTCTATAGAAGTTAAGTTTTACTTTTTATTAGTGATTATCTCTGAATTTCACAATATTATTGCACCATCAACTGTGAGATGTAAGACATAGCCCAGAAGTATAGTAAGATTATTATAGTATCCCAGCATTGTATTTTCTTGAAATACCTGGCTAGTCTTTACCTAATGTGTAATACCTTTATACATAATGATTATTTAAATAACATAGTCACAATAATAATTCACTCATATTATAAAGTTTATAATTTCTGTTTTTTTAAATAGAGAAATGATCTATTCTAGGATTCACTATTCCCTAAAAAGGAAGTATTCAATAAAAATTTCTTGCAAAAAAGTATGAAAAAATTTTTGAGAAATTACAATAAAAATGGTGTAGATCTGGACTGACTAAGATCAAAAGTTAATGGGAGGATACCCAAAGACATTACAAAGAGACAGCCTATTTTGTTTGTTTTGAAGCTAAATTCTCATAATTACCTGGCGGGGGGGATACATAAACAACTGAAAGTGTTTTTCTTGACATGCCACAATTGTCTACTCAAGCAAAGACTACTCCTGTTGGCTTCTCTGTTAATTTCCAGCTACTGACTTTTCCCAAATTTGTATAAACAAAATACACCATGTCTAGGTTGACTGGTTTTCTCCATTCTCTATTACAAATTCTGTTTTTGCTTATCTGATTTTTAAAATCAGTCTACCAGTTAACAGCTTCTCCTGCTAGAATCAATTTACATACAAAACAATGAAGTGATTTTGATTTATTCTTGACATATTCTTCAAAAATATTTTTTGAATATTCTTGAATGGCTAGTAAATCCACTTCTTTCCAATAGGCATATTAGGAAATAAAGATAAAATGAATGAATGAATGAATGAATGAATGAATGAGCAAATAATTCAAATGAAAGTGTATACCATTTTTAGGCCTCTCTGTTAATTTTGCTTTCCACAGCACCTCCAGCTCCCTCTCGTGTATGGCGTCCAGCAGCGTTGTTTCTGACTGTTCTGTGCCTTCTGACGCTCATTGGATTGGGAGTCTTGGGAAGCATGTGTATGTACTGCCCCTGTTTTGGTCAAAAGAGAAAGTATCTAGAATTTCAAATATTTAACAACTAAAGTTTATTCCTTAAGTGGAAGATTTATAATAATGATAGGTGATAGGCCCACAAGGGGGACTTACAATATGGAACTCAGTCTCTTTCCCTCACTCCTGTAGAGTAATTGCTTTCCCTACCCCTTTGATCTTTATACTACTTCTGCAAATGATAAAGGATGATGGTTCTATTGAGAATTCATTTTTTTAATGTGGAGTTCACATTACTTTGAAGACAGCAATGAAAAAAATGAGCAAACTACAAAATATCAATGAAGAGCTTCAAAGAAATGTGTCTCTACAACTGATGAGTAACATGAACAGCTCCAACAAGATCAGGAACCTCTCCACCACACTGCAAACAATAGCCACCAGATTATGTCGTGAGCTCTATAGCAAAGAACAAGGTAATCTTGGAGTTATTTATTGGACAATAAACTAAACCACTGAGTCTCTTAAGAATCATTTTATAATTAGCTAGCAGCCTTTCCCTAGGGAGTCATAATTTGGGGGAAAGACTTACGTGTGGTTGATGGAGAATTCATTGATATTTCCACACAGTTAGAAGAAAAACAGAAAAAGTCATAATAGCAATAGGCCCCCAAATTATCAGGAGATAATGGTTACATAATAAAATGTTAGACAGGACAGTTTCTCTAATCTGTCAGTTACTATAATTATTCTGGGCACTGAGGTTAATAGAAGATAGGGAGGAAGTGACAGCTCTTTACAGGTGACTTCATTCTTAAATTTCAGTCAGTGATTGATAACAAATTCCATAGGAAAAAATAAATAGAGACTTCACCTTTGGGATCAGGGGGAGTTGGTCTTCTAGTGTCTCCGTAAGCTTCTATAGTCATGATTGCTAAAACATATTCCTTTTGCTCCCAAGAAACCTCAAAATTTCAACAGTTCAGAGAACAAAAATTAAAGAAGGTAAGATTTGTATAGATAGGTGGGGTTCATTCTTACTATGCAGAATGTTTCCTGTAACTAGTTTTTATTGTCATTAAAGAATATAAAAAGTAGCAAAGAGGAATTGTTACAGGAAGATACACTTGAATCCAAGTGCTTAATTTGAAATTTTTTTGTTCAAGTTATGGGTCTGACACATTATGGTAGTATATAAGGAACTAGAATACAGGATTCACTTACTTCCCTTTTGATGTAAAAAGAAGACACAGCATGTAATCCCAGCTACTTGGGTGGCTGAGGCAGGAGAATTGCTTGAATTCAGGAGGTGGAGGCTGCTGTGAGCTGAGATCGCGCCACTACACTCCATCTTGGGCAACAGAGCAAGACTCTGTCAAAAAAATAAATAAATAAATAAAAAGAAAGAGAGAAAGAAAAAGAAAGAAGAATAAACAGCAAATGTGGTCAATGTCACACAGAGAAGAAAGGAAATAATAAGAATTATTATGACTATCAACAAAACCTAAATAAAACTATGTTCTTCTTCCAGAGCACAAATGTAAGCCTTGTCCAAGGAGATGGATTTGGCATAAGGACAGCTGTTATTTCCTAAGTGATGATGTCCGAACATGGCAGGAGAGTAGAATGGCCTGTGCTGCTCAGAATGCCAGCCTGTTGAAGATAAACAATAAAAATGCATTGGTAAAGCCCAGGTGTTTCTGCCATCATGGGATAGAAAGGGATGTGGCATGTTGGAGAAGACCTCAATCAACCCACTCATGATTCTGGTTTATTTTAGTTGGGGTGTGAAGTGACTGAAACTTTGTACACTTATCTCAAGATTATCATAGGCAAGGTAAAACATATACAAGGTTAGGACCTTAGCATAAGAGGATTACTAGACGACAGGTAGATGAGTATTACAGGGCACCCAGAATCTCAAAGTCTGTAAGCATTTCCAAATTAGAATCTAAAATCAAATCTCAGAACATAATTTATAAACATTTATCTAAAAACAGAGGATATGGAGATTATTCCTCAGGGTTAGTAATTCCGTAAGAACTACATAGGAGCATATGTTTTGTTTCTACCATTTTGTAATTTTTAATTCACTAAGAGAAATAGGCAAGTTATAGTAGGTTAGCATAAAATATGTACAAACAGGAAGAACTGAAATAAGATGGCACAGGCAAGTGTCAAACAGATATATTGCACTGAGTCCTTGAATCCCAGGAAAAATGTATTTTCTAGCAGCTTTATTGATTTTTTCATTTTCTTAGTTTTCCATGTCTAAATAATGTTTCCATGTTATACTTACTACATAGCATTTTTGGTCTCTCAAAGAGTAATCATATATTTTTAAGCAAAATTACATTTTCTAAAAGTCTCTGCTTCCCCACAATAAGAAACTTTCATCATCCTTTCTAGAAGAGAGAGAAATCAACCCATAATCTCTTCCTCATCAGATCATTCTCAAGGACCCATCCACAGTTACTTACTCTAGACAAATTTTCTAAAGGCTGGAATAAGAAAAAAACCTGTTATTTGGCTACAAAATTCTGGACTGGTTCTGAATTCTGTTCTGTAACCACTCACATCTGAGTCTGTGGCATTTTCTTCCTACTCCTTCTGTTTCTGTTAACTCTTGTTTATAGCCATTGCCCACTTCCTTTGGCCCTGGACACAATATTTACTGCTCAAAATTTTGAACTCTGAACTTGTCATTGTGGACTTTTCATTGACTGTAAATTAAGGTTATACATGGATTAGTAGGGCCTCTCTTCTTGTGAGACCAGCTGTGATATTGTTAAAAATGTTGAAATTTTGTAATAAGGAGTACTTTCTTTCAATTTCTTATAATGACATTTCATAGTAGTAGTGCAATGTCAAGTATGTTACCTTAAAGCAGCAATTTGTAAGAAATTACATTCTAATGTAAAATACAAAAGTAGGAGACTGTTTCTTAAACAGACCATCTGTATTTCCTGTAGGAATTTATAAAATCCCAGAGTACATCATATCCCTATTGGCTGGGATTATCTCCTGAAAAAGATTACAGTTACGGTACGAGCGTGGATAATATAATCAACTCCTCTGCCTGGTAAGTGTCTATTCTTGTTAAAATTTTATAGTTGGGTTTGAGTAGAGGTATTTTCCTTAGGAGAACTGTAGATTCAAATTAAAACCAGCTTCAGTTGAAATGAAATTGCATCCTAAAAGCACCCTTTTCTATCATGCTTCTTTGGTGTATTTTCAAATACAGAAAGTTATCATAAATGTCTTCTATAATTTTGACAGGTAACTAACAAAATTACAGCAGCCAAATTATGGATACCTCTGTAAATAATTTTATCTAAGAAAAATTATGGAAGCCCAGAAAAGTCACTGGACTAACAAATACTTAATATTGTGCTAAGTTTTAGGGTTCAAAGATGAATGAAATATGGATTCATCACTAAAGTTACTTCACCATCAATTGTATGTGCAGACTGATTGAATGATGCTAGAGATAAAGAGAATATAGTGTGATAAATGCTTCAGTAAGAAAACACAGACTAACAAAATATAAATTTTAGCAATGATACTTTTGTTATAAATGACACTTGAAATGAGCATTTAAAAAAGTTTATGGATTTGGGGGTACAGTTGCAGTTTTGTTATATAAATATATTGTGTAATGATGAAGTCGTGTTTTCAGTGTAACCATTACCTGCATAGTGTCCACTGTACCCAATAGATAATTTCTCATTCTTTATTTTTGTGACACAATCCTACTTTTTGGAGTCTCCAATGTCTATTATTCCACTTTTTATGTGTATGGGTACATATTATGTAGCTCCCACTTAAGTAAGAACATGCAATATTTAAGTTTATGTTCCTGAGTTATTTCACTTAAGCGAATGATCTCCAGCTCTATCCATTTTGCTGCAAAGTCATGATTTCCTTCTTTTTTATACTTGAGTAGTATTTCATGGTGTATATACTCTAAAAGAAAACACGGTTTCACGTTTTCTTATCCAATAATCCGTTGATGGACACTTAGGTCAATTCCATGGCTTTGCTATTGTAAATAGTTCTACAACGAACATTTGAGTGTAGGTGTCTTTTTTAAATACAATAATTCCTTTTCCTTTGGTTAGACACCCAATAGTGGAATTGCTGGATCAAATGGTAATTCCGTTTTTAGCTCTTTGAAAAATTGCCATAGAGTTTACACTAATTTCCATTCTGATGGTTGGCCCTACCTCTGGTGGTTGACGATGATAGGTTACAATGGGAGATAAGCTATCTACAAATGAAGTGGAGAAGGATATATATTTTAAAGGCCTAATTTGTAGTGAAGGACTAGAGACAAAGGTAATGTTGTGTCAGGAGAGAGTACAGATGGAATCTTGTTTTGAAAATGTAGAATATGTATGTGTTTGTAATTATTGCAAATGGAATGGTAATCTATAATGGAATGGAAAACATTGTAGATATTTTCAATTATCAGAAAGAAAACTGAAAAAAGTATATAATAATTGTATGTGTGATATATATATGTGTGTGTGTGTATATATATGTATACATACCTTATTTTCATTTTTTAACTCTGTGTTGTTTTGGGGTTTGTTTCTGAAAGGGGGCCATAATAAATGACATCTGTACTATGTCACCACAAATAAATCTCATTCTTAAAAATTTAATTGATGAACTTATTTACTGGTTGATGTCATTTTTTTTACCCAAATATTGATGCTAAATTATTCTAAAAGATTTTTTTTTTAATTTATAAATTTGTTTTTAATGCATAGTCCCTGATCACTAATCTAGTATTTATGGGCTGGTCATTAGAACTTCAGAGTAAAGGCCAGGTGCGGTGTCTCACGCCTGTAATCCCAGCACTTTGGGAGGCCGAGGCAGGCGGATCAGGAGGTCGGGAGATCGAGAACATCTTGGCTAACATGGTGAAACCCCATCTCCACTAAAAATACAAAAAATTAGCCGGGCATGGTGGCAGGCGCCTGTAGTCCCAGCTACTCGGGAGGCTGAGGCAGGAGAATGGCATGAACTCAGGAGGCGGAGCTTGCAGTGAGCCGAGATCTCGCCACTGCACTCCAGCCTGGGCAACACAGCAAGAGTCTTGTCTCAAAAAAAAAAAAAAAAAGAACTTGAGAGTAAAATCTTTTGAAAATATCACTTAGAGATGATGTTGAACTTAAGGTGTCATACCTCAGGTGAATTCCTGACTTTGATGATTATAAAAAGCACTTGAGGGAGACAGGGTCCAAGACTTACTACTGGGCCAGCTAGACTAGAGAATCTTACGGAATGGTATTATTCCAAATTATATTATACATGAAGGGGCTGGGGTGCTAAGTCTGTAAGCAAAGGACAGCAAATATCAGATGTTAGAAAGTGGAAAAAACAGGGAGAAATGAAGCAGTATTTGACATTGCATATGTGTCAACATAAACAATTAACTTGGACATTCTTGATACTCTGAACATTAATTAGATTTAGTTTAAACAATGCAGAGTCTAGGGCAATAATATAATGTTGGAAGTGTAATTTTTTTTTTCTGTGAATATGTTTCAAATATCTGACTTGCCAAGTGTAATTCTTTACTTTCTCTTTCAGGGTTATACGAAACGCATCTGACTTAAATAATATATTTTGTGGATATATAAATAGAATATATGTTCATTATGATTACTGCATTTATAGAAAAAAAATGATATGTGAGAAGATGGCCAATCCAGTGCAGCTTGGTTTTATACATTTTAGGGAGGCATGAGTCATCAATCAAATACATTTAAGGAGAGTGGGGGGTTGGGGTTCCAGACTATAGGTAAATTTAAATATTTTCTGGTTGACCACAATTGGTTGAGTTTGTCTAAGGACCTGGGATTTTATCACGCAGATGAAACATCCAGGTAGCAAGCTTCAGAGAGAATAGATTGTGAATGTTAATGCTGGAGAGGTATAATGAAGCATGCCCCTCCTCCCACTTCCCATCATCGCCTGAACCCTGGAGAAGAGGAAGTCCATTCAGATGGTTGTGGGGGGCCTTCGAATTTTATTTTTCATTTACATTCTTCCCCTTCTGGCCAAGATTTGCCAGAGGCAACATCCAAGACCAGCAGATTTTAATTTTGTCCCATAGCATTGCCAGGGTGGCATGGCGCGCCATCTCCGGTCCATCCTATACTCCGTGGGACTCCCTATAGCTGAAGGCCTTATGAGTCAAAGGACTTTTAGCCAATTGATTGTTCCAGGCCAGATAAGAATGGATGTGGACATGCATTTATTACCTCTTAAAATTATTATTTTAAGTAAAAGCCAATAAACAAAAATGAAAAGGCAAGTTATGAGACTGACTTATTTTTAACTTCTGTGTGTTGAGCTACTGTAAGCTTGGCTTTTGTTAAAGACATACAGCAATCAGCTATGCAAGCATAAGCATTGTTCTGAAAAAATATATAGAGAGACATGTTTATCTTCATAACTCTTAACTGGGAGTATTACACCCAAGAGGCTTTGTTACAAGGTATTTTTTATCCTGTTAGTAAATATATTCCTGTAATTCTATAATAAGCAAAAAAAATTTCATGGTTGGGGTAGATGCAAAAGTGACACATACTCGTTTAGAAAGCAACTCAACTTGTTTTATCAGCTGTTTAGGCATTTTTGTACCCCTCCTTGATTTGGAGGGTTTGAGCTTGACCTAATTTTGTTCTTTAAAACCAGCCTTTACAATATTATGCCCCCTCGTCTTCTGTGACAGTAACTGGGCCTAGAGGGAAGTGTGCTTGTAGAGTTTTTGCAGCAGAGCATTTGCAGTGAAATACAGATCCTGGCTCAATGGGATGCCAAAATGAGGGAGAGCCACGTAAAAATACGGGATTTGTATTTTTAATCCCATTTCTATTAAAAATACAAAAATTTGCCGGGCATGGTGGCACACTCCTACAGTCCCGGCTACTCGGGAGGCTGAGGCAGGAGAATCGCTTGAACCCAAAAGGCAAAGGTGCCAGTGAAGTGAGATCGCACCACTGCACTCCAGCCTGGGTGACAGAGCAAGGCTCCATCTCCAAAAGAGAATTAATTAATTAATTTAAAATGCAGCAAGAATGGATTGGCCATATAGGCTTCTTTAAGTTGACCTTGACTAAACTTTACCTAAAAATATGCTATTTTAGTTAAAGTCTTAGTAAAATAACCAGTGTCTCAAATTCTTTTGTTTTAAAAGATGCTTTTTGAATTTATGAAAATAACCATACTGTCATAAAATCACAATCCAAATTTTAGAACTCAAAGAGAAGTATAAATTTGCTTACAAAAACATACTTCACTCTAATAACTCAAAAGAAAAAGATTTTATTGACCTTGCTTTAACCAGAGCAGGAGCTTTCAAACAATGTTTGTATATTAGGGAAATGCTATTTACAAGCCAACAGCTCATGAAAGCTGTCTATCAGGCATGGTAGAATCTAGGAAAGAGGCTCCCTACTTATCAGTACTTTCTCCTAATATCCCCAGGTAGCAAGATTCTATGTAAATCATTTTTATTTTTTTATGGAACTCTTTTGAGCACCATCATTTTTATTAGCATAGGGATAGCTTCAGTTAAAATTCCATAGCAAGGCAGTGAATGCCTCTCAGGTGGAAATTCTCAGTTCAGTACTGTCATTGGGAAGTATTTACAGTTTTTTGCCATCAGCCCCAATAAACGTGCCACAAATGGCTATGAAGAGGAGGATTTGTCCCGACTAGCACTCTAGCTTCTACCCAATACTTTGTGGGCTCAGGCAATTTTACTAGTTCCCATTCAGCGTGTTCAATTAAAATTTACTAGAAGAGCAGATTTACATGCCTTCAGCTTTGTAGTACTAGAAAGGGGAAACATCTCCCAGTCAGATGTAGTACCCATTTTCACAAGACATTTAGGTAAAGGGCTTACAACTACATTCTATAAAGTTTGTTTAAACGTCTTAAATTTTATAATTCTATTAACCTGTATGTTTTCGTTTGTTTTTTTGTTTTGTTTTGTTTTGTTCTTGGCCCCAGATCATTTTACTTTTTCTTTCTTTTTTTTTTTCTTTTTTGAGACAGAGTCCCATTCTTGTCACCCAGGCTGGAGTGCAGTGGCATGATCTCAGCTCACTGCAACCTCCACCTCCCTGGTTCAAGCGATTCTCCTGTCCCAGCCTTCCAAGTAGCTGGGATTACAGGTGCCCACCATCACACTTGGCTAATTTTTGTATTTTTAGTAGGGATGGGGTTTCACCTTGTTGCCCAGGCTGGTCTGGAACTCCTGACCTGAGGTGATCCACCCGGGTGTGTTGGCCTCCCAAAGTGCGGGGATTACAGGCATGAGCCACCGCGCCAGGCCTATTTTATCTTTTCTGGTGAAAAAGGGTTTGGGTTCCCAGCAGGGAGTTGCATCTGTGAGACCTATAAGGAACAACAAATTTGATAAGGCTTCTTAAACAGTCCTGTGATTCTGTGGGAGGGGCACCAACGCAAAAGGGGCTCCCTGAACTCCAAAATTTACCTTGACCTGGGTAATAGGCATATTTGCCGAGAGGATAACCCAGTTATCATAAAACCAGCCCAACATGGTTTTCGTGTGAAGCATATTAACTGCTTCACCTGGGGTGCTTAACTTGGTATTTTATGGGGAGAGTTGGGCAGTTTCCTGCTGATACAGTTTGGCTGTGTGCCCCACCAAATCTCATTTTGGATTGTAGCTCCCATAATTTCCACGTGTTGTGGGAAGGACCTGGTGGGAGATAATTGAATCAGGAGAACGGTTTTCCCCATACTGTTCTCATGCTAGTGAATAAGTCTCATCAAATCCGATGGTTTTATAAGGGGGAACCACTTTCACTTGGTTCTTATTCTCTCTCTTTCCTGCTGCAATGTAAAACATGCCTTTTGCCTTCCCCCACGATTGTGAGACCTCCCTAGCCACATGGAACTATGAGTCCATTAAACCTCTTTTTCTTTATAAATTACCCAGTCTTGGGTATGTCTTTATTAGTAGCATGAAAATGAACTAATACAGTAAATTGGTACCAGTAGAGTGGGGCAGTGCTTGTAAAGATACCCAAAAATGTGGAACCAACTTTGGAACTGGGTAGTGGGCAGAGGTTGGAACAGTTTGGAGGGCCCTGAAGAAGACAGGAAAATGTGGATCAGTTTGGAACTTCACAGAGATTTGTTGAATGGCTTTGACTAAAATGCTGATAATCATATGGACAGTGAAATCCAAGCTGAGGTGGTCTCAGATGAAGATGAGGAAATTGTTGGGAACTGCAGTAAAGGTGACTCTCACTATGTTTTAGCTAAGAGACTAGCAACACATGTTGCCTGGCATTCCCATCCCCAGCAAAGTCTCACTGTAGCCTCAGCCACTGAGGAAATCAGACACCAATGATGCTAATTACAGCTGAAGAAATCATATGGAGACTACACTATTGAGCTCACCTAGAATCAAAGCCAAAGCACCCTACTCAACCAATACTATACATACATCTATAGAAAAAAGTGTTTCCCTATGAAAGCCAATGCATAAAATTAAAGGAAACAACCATTACATCAGATGTGCAGATACCAACATAAGCACACAAGAAACATAAAAAAGTGTGGAAACGTGACACCTCCAAACAAACCGGTAATTTTCTAGAAAAAAAATTTCAGAAAAAGGAAATTGATGAAATAATTAAAAATCATGGTATTAAACTCAGTGAGATATAGAAGATGATAAAAATTAGAGAAATAATTCATAATCTGAATAATAACTTCAAGAAAGCAATAAATGTCATAAAAAGTCAAATAAAAATCCTAGATCGGAAAAATTTAATAAATGAAATAACATAATATAATTGACAGCTTCAACAATAGACAAGATAAAGTAGAATAAAGAATTTCTAACCTTGAAGATACGACTTTTGAAATAACCCAAACAAAACAAAAAGAAGAAAAAAGGATGAAGAATTCTACATGACATAGGGGATACCATAAAGGAAGCAAATATTCAAAATGTAGAAATTCCAGAAAAAGAAAAGAAATGCAAAGACATAAAAACCTTTAACAGGCTGGGCGTGGCGGCTCATGCCTGTAATTCCAACACTTTGTGAGGCTAAGGTGGGAGGAGTGCTTAAGCCCAGGAGTTCGAGGCTGAAGTGAGCCATGATCACATCACTGCACTCCAGCCTGAGGAGTTCAAGGCTGCAGTGAGTCATGTTCACACTACTGCACTCTAGCCCAAGAGACAGAGTGAGACCTTATCTCTAAAAAACAAAAACAAACAAACAAAAAACCAATTAAACAAAATAACAGCCGAAAGCTTCTCAAGCCTTGCAATAGACATAGACCTTCAGATAAGGAAGTTCAAAGATCTCCAAAAAAATTCAACCTTAAAAGATCTTACGCAAAGCACATTGTAGTCAAATGGTCAAAAGTAGAAGACAAAGAGAAAATTCTAAAAACCCCAAGAGCAAAGTATCAAGTCATATAGAGGGGAATTCCCATTAGACTAAGTGAATTGCTTTGCAAGAAACCTTACAGGCCAGAAGAAAATAGAATGCTCTATTCAAGCTGCCGAAAGAGAAAAAGTAACAGTCAAGAATACTACAATCAACAAAACAGTATTTCAAAATGAGAAACGAAATCTCCCAAACAAGCAAAAACTGAGAGAATTAATTATCACTAGACCAGCCTTTTAAGAAATGCTTAAGGGAGTCCTACATTGGGAAATAAAAGGATGATATTCACCATAATGAAAAAATATCAAAGTATGAAACAGATTAGTATAGCAGACACACAAATGAGAAAGAAAAATGAGACAAATATTACCACTACAGGAAACCACAAAACCACAATGATAAATAATAAGAGAGAAAGAAAGGAAAAGGCATATATAAAACAATCATAAAACAATTAGCAAAATGACAGAAATAATTTATTACCTATTAGTAATAACCTTAAATGTAAACAGATTAAATTTCTTAAGTAAAAGATGTAGACTGCAAAATGGATTTTAAAAAATGATTCAACTATGTACTGCCTACAAGAAACTGACTTCAACTGTAAAGATACATATAGACTGAAAAGGGATGGAAAATAAGAATTCACATTGGATATCAAAAATGAGCAGGAGTAGCTATACTTATATCAGATAAAACATAATTTAAGTCAAAAACCATAAAAAGAGACATAAAATAATTACATAATGATGAAGGAACCATAACAATCTGAATATATATGCACCCAAAAACAGAGCACCTATTACTAGTATATTTAATATTACTATTAATATTACTAAAGCAAATATTCCTTCCTTTCTTTCTTCTTCTCTCC